CAGAGGCGGGAGGAGCGGCTGCGCCGGTTCCGGGAGCTCCACATGAAGCGGGTACGGGGGATCTCCAGATCGGATTATTGTGGGGTTGTTCCGTGCCCCGGGGCGGGTTTGGGGGTGTTCTCTCGGTGCTCGAGCGCTGCCCTGCTTGGTTGCAGTACGAGGCCTGCAAGCTGAACAGCCAGGAGGTGGTGGAGGAGGACAAGAGGCTGAAACTGCCCCCAAACTGGGAAGCTAAAAAAGCTCGTCTGGAGTGGGAGCTGCAGGTGCAGGAGAAGAAGAAGGTAAAGAACCCCCGGGGACACGGCTAGCCTTACACGGGGCTCACCCCAAACCCCAAATTCGGGTCCTCATGAACTCCCCATTGCTTCGCTCCCTGTCCTGCTCGGGGGCAGGGCTGGGCAGGGCTGGGGGGATGGAAATGGGGCGGATCCGGGGTGGATCCGGGATTTCTGCTGGAATTGGGGAGTTCTCTGTGCCGGGCAGGAATGTGCAGCCAGGGGGGAGGACTACGAGCGGGTGAAGCTGCTGGAGATCAGCGCCGAGGATGCCGAGAGGTGGGAGAGGAAGAAGAAGAAGAAAAATCCCGACCTGGGATTCTCAGGTGAGGGCTGGGCCGTGGGGCTGCGCTGCTGGGGAGCTCCTAGGGTGGTGTTTGGGCTGGAAGAGCGAGCTCAAAGCACAAATTGTGGCGCAGATTACGCGGCGGCGCAGCTGCGCCAGTACCAGAGGCTGACCCGGCAGATCAAACCCGACCTGGAGCAGTACGAGAAGCTCAAGGAGCAGTAGTGAGTCCTGATTTCAGTCCTTGGAACCATCTGTGGGGTCTCTGAGGGATCAGCAGGACCCTCCCACCCTGTTCTCCCGTGTTCTGGGGTGTTCTCTGAGCTTCAGGGAGGGGTAGTGGGGTAATTAAGGAGGTTCATTTCTTCAAACTTGGCACTGCTGAGTTGGAAGAAATATTGTCAGTGTGAAATCGCTGCCTGGAGCGGGGTTTGGGGTTTTTGAGCAGCCCAGCTTTAAGGGCTGAGACTTGCCCAGTTTGTGTTGAGGTGGATTCAGCGTTTCCAGGGGGTTCTGTGTCTTTCACCTCTCAAAAGAATTGAGAGCTTGGGTTTAGTGTTGACATTTGTCACCTGAGTCTGGGATTCCCACGGCTGAGTGAAACTGAGGGAAAAACACCAGGGCCACAAGGACACGAGGGATGGGACAAGGGGTGAGGGGTTCAGAGGGAGAGAGGGGAAATTTAGGTTGGATATTGGGAATAAATCCTTCCCTGTGAGGGGGTGAGGCCCTGGCACAGGTTTCCCAGGGAAGCTGTGGGTCCAAGACGGGGCTGGAGCAGCCTGGGATGGTGGGAGGTGCAGGGGTGGCACTGGGTGGGCTGTAAGGACCCTTCTGGGGCTGTGAGCAAGCCCCAGCAGCGTCAGGTGTGTGAGTGCTGCCCCACTGCTGTGCCCTGCAGCGGGGAGGCCCTGTACCCCAGCTCGGACAGCCTCCTGCACGGCACCCACGTGCCCTCCAAGGAAGGGGTGGACAGGATGGTGGCAGACCTGGAGAAGCAGTGAGTAACGGGGGGAGAGGGCAGGCAGGGAGGGCTGGGGGTGCTGCAGCCCCAGGGCTCAGCCCCCGCTGCCTCCCAGGATCGAGAAGAGGGAGAAGTACAGCCGGAGACGGCCCTACAACGACGACGCCGACATCGACTACATCAATGAGAGGAACGCCAAGTTCAACCAGAAGGCCGAGAGGTTCTACGGGAAATACACGGCTGAGATCAAACAGAACCTGGAGAGGGGCACGGCCGTGTGAGCCCAAACAGAACCTGGAGAGGGGCAGGGCTGTGTGAGCCCAAACAGAACCTGGAGAGGGGCAGGGCTGTGTGAGCTCACCCAGCCCAAACAGAACCTGGAGAGGGGCAGGGCTGTGTGAGCCCACCCAGCCCAGCCCAGCCAGAACCTGGAGAGGGGCACGGCCCTGTGAGCCCACCCAGCCCAGCCCAGCTCTCTCCTGTTGCCGTTTTCAGCCCTATTTTAAATTGTATCCGAGTGCAGCTGTTGCTCTCCGGGTGTGCTGGAGGAATTTGTGTAGTCCAGCTGTGAATTTTTGTTCAGTTGTAGCCAGGTTCTGCCGCTTGTGCTCTAAATAAACTCTTTGGTGTAATTTGGGAGTTGGTGTCTGTTCCTGGGGTTTGCTTGGCAGCAGGATGAAGAGCATCGTGCCAGCTGGCCCTCAGCAATTCCCAGAGTGGAATTTTCCCCCCTGGCAGCAATTCCAAGGGTGGAATTTCCCCCTGGGCTGTCCAGCCCCAGCCACGGGACACGAGAAACACGGGCTCCTCCCACCCATTCCAGGGTTCCTTAAAGAACTCCCAGACAGGAGCAGAAAATTCCATTTCTTTTACTCATTATTTACACAAAACCCAGGTTTTACTGGTAATTCCCAGCTCCTTGTCTTCCTGAACTCCTTTCTGCTGGAGCAGAGCTCCAGAACCCTCCTGCCCCTCCCTGCACCTTTTCCTTCCTCAGGGAGAAAATTTTGAAGCAAACCAAATAAATAAAATGCTGTAGCAACTCGAGTTCAGCGTCAGAAGGGGTAACGGGATTGGGAACAGCCGTGATTTGTGTGGCAGGCAGCTGCAATCCTACACAACCCCCACTTCCAGAGGGAAATCCACAGGAGGATGAGGCAGGATCCTCTCTCAGTCCCCGGTGCTGCAGCGGGTGAGAGGAGCTGGGTACAGCCAGAAATAACCACACAAACGCTGACACCTGCCACACGCAGCCAGTGCAAAACTAAAACTTTATTCACTTCAAGTAAACAGTTACACAATGTAAATCCAGGTGTTCAAAGAACAGCTACTGAACTATGGTTTAGAAAAAGTTACCCACCTGCAAGTTCTAGTCCAATAAAGCAATACAAAATATTTACAAATATACACAAGATTCCCATCTGTGGCTTCTGGATCTGTGTGCTCTCTATCTGAAAGAGAAACCTAAGATTCCAAAAATTAAGACCTCAAAATAAATACTCAGTATTAACAAAACTTCAAGCCCACGAGAAATCTCTGTCTCTCTACTGAGGGGTGTGAAGTGCTGCAGTCTGACAGGGAATCCCATCAGCGTGCTCGGAACAGGGAGCTTTTGGGTGAGAAGTTCAGGAATGTTTTCTTCTCCTCCTTCTTGACAGGAACCCACTGCCCATAGGGGCTTCCCTTCCTGTCATCCTCCCTGGCTGGAGAAACCACTGGCTCCTTAACCACAGCATGGCTCACTGGCTTCTGCAGGGCAGGCTTGGCCATTGTGTTCTGTGGGGAAAAAAAAGAGATTTCATCTGAGAAAAGGTGCTAAAGCCAAGGGGTTTATCTGTGCTCATCATATAAATCACAGAAATGTGTTCTCTGGGTGTCAATCCCTGAGTGCTAAGCTTGCATTACTAAAATGTGTAAGGTGTGTTTTAAACCAGTTTTAGTTTTAAACTGTTCAAGTTGAGGGTAAATACTTATTTCAAACACACTGCTGAGGAGTATTTAGGGCACTCGAAGAACTCCAGAGAATTCATTATCAAACATGAAATTCCTTTTGTTACTGAGATCTTTATATGGGGAAAGTCTGAGGCAGGAGGGCTGAGGCACTGGGATGCCCTCACTCACATCAGGGCTGAAGGAAATGCTCTCACCCACTTTAGGGCTGAAGGAAATGCCCTCACCCACATCAGGGCTGAAGGAAATGCCCTCACTCACATCAGGGCTGAAGGAAATGCCCTCACTCACTTTAGGGCTGAAGGAAATGCCCTCACTCACTTTAGGGCTGAAGGAAATGCCCTCACTCACATCAGGGCTGAAGGAAATGCCCTCACTCACTTTAGGGCTGAAGGAAATGCTCTCACTCACTTTAGGGCTGAAGGAAATGCTCCTCTGGATGGTTGTTCTCTCCATGCCACCCTTGGTCACGTCCTCAGCCACACTCCCAGGTTGCTAAAGAAGAGCAGACACAGCTGAGGTGGGATCCCTGGGGCAGGGTAGGCACTGCACAGCACAACTGCAACATTTCAGGATTTATCTAAAGTAGCTGTAAAGCTACAGCCCAGCAGGGCTGAGCCCACTGAGCCTGCCCAAGGCAGCTGTGCCAATTCCCGTGGGAGTGGGGGCAGCTCCAGCCCCAGCTCAGAGAGGACTCAGAGTCACAGCACAAGCTGCCACAGCAGAGCAGTGACAGTGGCAGCAGTTCTGCACACCCATCCTGCAGAGCTCGGGAGAACAACAATAAACTTATCTGCAAGGGATGCAGGCCTCTTCTTCTGTACTCTCTCAACATCTGGAATATATTGCATATGTTTATGAAAGGGATGCCTGGACCATTTGTGTCAAACCCTCAGCAAATTCCCTTTCCAGCAGCAGCAGCTGAGCCAGGCAGTTGCTGCAGGTTTGTATTTACTGTGACTCAGGGTAACACACCACGACAGAACCAAACTAAAATTCACTTTAAGCTGCTCGAGTTTCTCCCTCCCTTCAGTTCACAGCAGCTACAGCCCACAAGTCCCTTAATTACCACCAGATTTTCTTCCTCATGTCTGGAACCATAGTCATGATTTCTATAAGACAGAAATAAAGTATGTAAAATGCATTGTGTGCTTGGGTATGGAATTTCTGGGAAACAGTTTGTTGCACATGAAAAGCTTTTAACAGTTAAAAAAAAGGCAGAAAGATTTAATCTTAAAAAAAAAAATAAAATAACCCCACACTATTGACTAGGTTTGGCAAGGAGAGTCCTGCTTTTAGGTCAGGAAGACATAAACTAGTGGAATTGATGGGAAACATCCCATTAGGAGAACAAGTCAAAGGAACAAGTCTCCTCTCCTTCCCCAGCTGTCCCTACTGGACACTCAGGGGATCAAACACCTCTGAGAGAGCTTCTGTGCTTCCAGCTTAAGGCAAAGCCTCGAGGTTTCTGGACAAGTTTTTGTTCAAGAGCTTGAACTCATAAGCACAACCTCCACAGTTGAACTACAACAGAGCCATGCAGACAAGTCTAAGAGGTGTTTACCTTTCCAGGGAGAACATTCCATACTTACCTCAGCTGACTCCGTGGCTTCCGCACGCTCCTGCTTCTCAGCTTTGACCTCTTTGGCAGGAGCAGAGATCTTCAGGCTGGCTGGCAGGACAATGTTATCTGTTCCCAGAGCTTTGGCAGCATTGGCTTTTGCAATTTCCAGGAGTTCCCTCTTGTCTAGAAGAGGAAGGAATGAAAAAAAGTGCTTTGTGTCACGTTAAAATCCGTGTGCATCTACTCAAGCCTAAATCGTTCAGGTTTGATTCAAGCATCAGCTGGGACTGAGCTCATCACAGCCTTCAGAACATAATGTTCTGAAGAACAATTTTTATTAAATACATCTGTCCAACCACACTGAGGCTTTCCCTCACTTGGGCTTTACAAACCAATCAAGCAAAGGAGCATCTGCCTCATCCAAACAACACCTGTTTGTGGGCTCCCACATAAAGAAACCCCAAAAACCCCCCTCAAGTACCTTTTTCACTGAGGTGCAGAGGTGACCTGCTCCGAGAGCGCGTCCGGGAGCGGCTCCTCCAGCTCCTGTAGGCCTCGGGGTAGACGGTTCTGCCGAAGCCGTAGTACCTGCGGCCGCGGGAGCGCGAGCGGCTCCGCGAGTAGGAGCGCCGGTAGTAGGCCCTGCCGCGGGAGCGGGAGCGCGGCCGGGGGTAGCGGTGCCGGTAGTGCCGGGCCGGGTAGCGGCTGCGGTAGCGCCGGCAGCCGCGGGAGCGCGAGCGGCTGCGCGAGCAGGAGCGGGAGTAGCGCCGGGAACGCCGCGAGCGCCGCGCGCGGGAGCGAGAGCGGGACCGGGAGCGGCTCCAGCTGCGCGAGGAGCGGCTGGAGGAGCTGCTGGAGCTGGAGCGGGAGCTGCACGAGGAACGGCTGGAGGAGCGGCTGGAGGAGCGGGCGCAGCTCCGCCTGGAGCTCCGCGGTGATTCCCTCTGCTGGGGCGAGCTGAGGCTCAGCTCGTCCATGATATCCGTCATGTCGTCCGCTTTGCCGGATTTCTGCGCGCCCTCAGCGCCCGCCTCAGGCTTGGCTGCTGCTCTGCAGTGCCCGGTCTCTGTTCCTGTGGGGTGCAGAGACGAAGCTCAGCGTTTCTGCATCGCCTCAGCAGGGATAAAGAAATTCCCCAACAACCTCCCAGTAACAACTGAGCTCTGCAATTCCCTCTCCTGCAGCCACAGAACTCAAACACAAGGCTGTATCAAAGAAGGCTTCAGTTTAAACCATGTTCTGTGTGGAGTTTGAGAGAACTCCATGTGGGTTTTAAGTAATTCCTTTTGCAATACCTTTTTTCCCTCCATCTTGACATTCTTGAAAATAAATTTTCAAGGTATTTTATCTTCCATCTACCCTAAAAACAGCCCACTGTATCTACAAAACAAAATAACCGTTTGCCTTCCAGCTCTGTACAAACTGCGTTTTCTGCTACAATTCCACTGAGGTTTTTACCCCAACAAGGGGAAACAAAAGTATCTTTTAAGTACAAATCAACTGAGATCTTGCCTGTATCATGCCATAACAGCATCCACACATCCCAGCAGTGAATGCAACAAGCAGCTGTTCAAAACATTCTACATAAACAGCGCAGAGCCCGGGTGATGATTCAGCGACGCTTTATGGCTCTATATTAATAATTAAAATGGCTGTCCCTGGAGTGGCAGCCATTTTATGGCTACAAAGGTTACTCGGGGTAAGGATCTTATCACAAGACTTAAGCCCTGAGTTACGTAACCAGTTTACACTTTAGGGAAGCTTGCTTTGACACCGAATTTCTATTTAGAGCTCAGCGCAAAGCGACGTTAGGCAACAAATCCAACCCCCGCACTGAAATGTGTAATTTAAGTTGCGTGAGAGTTGTCAGACGCACTTCTCTCGCTACTACTCCAGGTAAAGTTTCACTGCTTCACCTCTACGCCAGGGCCAAGGTCACACGGCTGGGACGGTAATTAAGATAAATCCCCAAGTGCCGCTTGCCATCGCCAACCCCATGCCGGCCCGTGTCCAGCCCGGTCCATCGGGGCCCATGGCCGGTACCGGACCCCCCGAGCCCTCAGAGTCCCTCACTCACCGCTGGGCGCCGCCGGGCACGCCCCGCGCTGGTTTCCCTGAGGCACCTGGGCGCTCCTGGAATAAAATCAATAAAAACCCGTAAAAATCCACCCGGGAGGGATCCACGGCCCTCGCACGGCAGGGGCCACCGCGATCGGCCTCACCCGCATCGTTTCCCCCCCC